TCAGCGGAAGTCGGTTTATCTCACGAATGTCATCAGTTTTATAAAATGTTAAAAAATATTTTTTTGAGGCCAAATGTAATACTTTTTCATAAATTAAATATTTATTAACTACCCTGTACACTCAAGCATACATGCTTGATGGTTGATAAAACCCATGATTTGCGTGTGCTCAAGTAATTTTTTCAAAACACGCTTACAATTTTCATAATTTTTTTAAAATTGAATAAATTAATTTGATTTGATTGCAATCGACAGCGGCTTCTTTGAAAACTAGGTTAATATGCCACATATATTACATAAGTAATGTGAACTTGAAGTGCTTTTTTCAAATTATCAGCTGATCATTGGTAGGTGAACGGATGTGCGAGCATTACATAAATAAACAAGTAAAAAATTTTATTTGCATTATTAATCATAAAGTTCTACATAAAAGTTGCAATTGCAATGCCATTACTTTAGGGATTATAAAAAAATCTTTTAAATAAATTGAAAATATTTCTATTTTCTATTTTTGCTGTCTGTGTGCTGCAAACAATGGCGCTACGGCATTAAACGGAAGCGTTAAGCAATCGCTTTGCAAAAAATAGAAAAAACAAATACGCGTACGCACATTGCTTAGCTAAATCGTATTGCAATGCGTTAAGCGAGGCGAGCATCGAAGCGTTGGACGGACTGCCGGTGTTCATGGACAATGATCGACAGTGAGAAGTTGTTTAGCTTAATTGCCGGCGACTAATCGCAGAGGATCATGGCAAATATTTTTAATCGGCGTTGCGAAAATAGGAATATATGTACATATAATATAAATATCTATATAAGTATGTAGAATATTGATATAGGACTTCATTGAGCGTATGACAACAATATTGGCAGCTAAATGAGAGCAAACTCAATTTAAACATCACTCAAAACTCATGAAGCCATTTTCAACACGAGAATGACTTTTTATAGGTTTTTGTATTTTTTAGCAATATTTATTTTTTCTTAAGATCTTGAGCCAGTGCAATATTGTTTAATAAACAATTTGGAATTACCAATATTTTGTTATCAAATATTTAAAGAAAATTACATTAAAGATATCTTTTTACTAATCTTTATTTTTTCCAATAGATGGCTTTAGCAACGACCGATCGATATCGACTATAAGCGTTAGAACGATAAGATCGTTCTAAAAAACTGCTCAAATAATTTTGTGTTTGTTCGACGTAGTTTTGTTTCAGCAAGCATCAAAGATGGGCAACAGCAAAGAGAAAATACGCCAAATTTTAAATACACCAACTTCAAGCGAAAATTCTTCAGGCTGGGTAAGGTTAGTTAGGTTAAGAGGTCGATTCTAACAGGGATCTCACTTGGGCAGCTTAGAACGTCGTTTTGTCGTGGTACCTAAAACTCCTATATAATAGATCTTAAGACCCTTACAAATTAACAAAGCGTTTTGAGCATATCACACATTTGTTGAGACGGCTAATGTCAGTTTCGGCTATGTCTTCTGGTTTGCCGAAGGTAAGACTGCCGAGATGTTTCAACCTCAGTATTGCAAAGGCTGTACAATGGAGGAGAAAGTGCCTGGATTTTTCCACCTAACTTTCCTCTATACGACTTTGACAACTAGCGTCCGACAGGATTTTTACCCTTACCGCATGAATGCCTATTTGACAGTGTCTAGTAAGAATCCCTACGATTGCGGCAAGATAAAGTTCGCTAAGGGCGAGTGGTAGTAGTAGGTCAAAAGGATATCGGAGTCGCACTATATTGATCATACGAAATATTTTATTTTGAAAGTGATAAAATAGTATAGTTGAGATCCAAATGGATTATATGTAAATTAGTCTATTCCTGAATATCTCTAAAACATCTTTGACACTGAGTTTTCTAATTTTAAAATTACATTAAAAATCATTTCCATATAATATTATTGCTACGACTTTAAGCAACGGAAGTGGCGCTACCCTTATTGGCATGAATTCTTTATTTATTTAAAACATTCTTTTTCTATTGTTTCTATAAAGCCGCGCTTACAAATATATCACATGAAGTGCCGCGATTTCCGTGTCCATTTATTTCTCAATTATTTTGTTCTTTTTGGCTACAACAATGTTCATTTCCAATTGAAAGGTGTTTGCTTTACCTTTTTGCACCATTAGTGAGTGGGCCCTTAGGTGAACAAGAATGCCACCTATCACGAACTGGTGTTGTCTAGCAATTGTTTATGTGCTCACCAACACCTTCGAACACAAAATGCAAAAGTGTGTCTTGTGCTAAGTAATAAACCGCCATTAAATAAATTTTGCTTCAGTGATTCTATAGTTGTTCGATTTCCTATCAATAAAAGTCGCCATTTATATGTACACATTAAAAGTTCTGAGTGCGTACTATTGCCAATGCTAAACTTTTTAATAGATTTTCAGTTTGTGTACTTCAACTTGCAGAATTTAAAATAATTTGCACGTCATTTTAACGTTTTTGTTTTTCTTTCATTTCATGTTGTTGGTATTTTTATGTTTATAAAAAACAATAGAAGAAACGAATAATGCTTGAGTGCAGTGCGTATTTTGCATACCAACTAGCTGCATACCTAGCGTTCCAGCAACGTGGAATAAGCAATGCGAACAATAATCACCCAACTGTCGGTAGATAATAGGTTGTCCATTTCTTTCTTCAATAAACATACTCTCATACTTTTGTTAGTTAGTGTTTGCTTTAAATTATTATATAGACAGCGAAATGAGTGATTGTATCATTGACTTTATAGGTACATACATACTTATAACAGCAGAAAT